GGCGACCGATTGAATCAGGTTCCAGGCTTCTTGCGTCGGCGCGGCGATATTGCGCAATCGCGGTCGGCGCGAGAATGGTCCACAGAGTGTCTGAGCGCCCAGCCGCGCACCTCCAAGATTTTTCTAACAACGCGGACGGGTTCGTGTCGACAGCGTTGCAATGATTGGCTACAGGGCCTGGAAGTACTTTCTGCAGGCCATGTTGAGCAATCAGACCGCTCTGACCGCAATCAGTATGAAACCACTCGACGTAGCGGACCGTGCTCGCCGGCCGCAAGAAGCATGACAGCTCGCGTCGCAGATTTACCCCCCAAATATTTTATTGCAGATCTAAATGAATCACACTGCCAGCTGTCGTGTGCTCATCAATGTGCCGAGTGTCGCGCCTGAGCGCCACAGAGGTGACAGCTCACACCTCCTGCACAATGTATGACAATTCATCTTCAGAAGATGAAGGAAAGAGAGGCCCTGTTTAATGCTCGTATTCAAATTAGTTTTCAACACATTTTGAATCAGCTAAAAATCAGCCATTTTCTCAGAACATTTCCATAGAGAGCCACTTTGCATCAGCAGCACCATGCTCCAGTGCTCTGGGAGACTTTATAGTCCTGACAGTTGAACACTGGATGACTGACAGCTGTCCTTCATCACAACAGAAATCCTCGTCCTCATCATCAAAAACATGACTTTGATCTGCGTCCTCATCTGGACTCTCCTCCTCTGCTGCTGCTTCACAGGTAAAGTCCAGAGAATCAAACTCCTCTCCTCTATGAACATCCGTCCCTCTGAAATGAAGCCCACTAAACCCTGATGCTGCTTTCTGTTTTTGTCTCTGTATCCTCAGAGTCCAGAGGACAGGTCACAGTGACTCAGCCTGCAGCAGTGAGCTCTGCTCTGGGAGCCTCCGTCTCCATCTCATGTAGGACCAGTCAGGATGTTTATTATAGCAGCTACCACTTCTTAGCCTGGTACCAACAGAAAGATGGAGGAACTCCTAAACTCCTCATTTACTTAGCTAGCTCTCGAGAATCAGGGATTCCAGATCGTTTTTCAGGCAGTGGATCAAACTCTGCCTTCACTCTGACCATCAGTGGAGTCCAGACTGAAGATGCAGCAGTTTACTACTGTCAGAGTTATCACTACATCAACAGTCAGCATGTGTTCACACAGTGAAAAAGCGTCGTACAAAAACCTCCCTCAGTCAGACTGAACAGAAACTGAACTGACTGCTGCAGCTGGAAGTTTCTGCAGAGACTGACACACTTCACTGAAGCAGCTCAGACATGATAAAGACCTTAAAAATCAATCAGCCCTCATATTTGTTTTGGATTATAAACCTCATTGTAAACGCACTTAAACAATACACTCTTTACAAGCAGAGGATTATGGGTAATAACATTTTTTTTTTAAATAACATTTATATGTTGGTGATAAAGTGGACAAAAAAACAAACCTACAAATATTTGCACATAGAAATAACAGCAAAAACAAAAACCAATAACCAAACTAACAAGAAAACAGAAACAAGTCAAAACAGTGAAACATTAGAAAAGACACAACACAACAATCACACAGGCCATAGATTGAAATGAGATATGGTGACTTCTGAACTTTTCTATGTTGATGGAGGGTAATAGAAAGCTATGAGATTTTTAGATCTGGTGTGAGTTGCAGTTCATTCATCAAGGTCAGAAGTCAGGTGGGAAGTAAAGAGAAAACAATCTAAGAATAAATCTAAAATATATATATGTATGAAGAAAAATGATAAAACAATCAAATTAAAGGTATAGTGTTAATGTGACCATCATAGAAACAAAGAGGAAAATATATATATCCATACATACATGCACATAGGTATACACACATACATATACATTCATACACACTCATGCAATATTTAAGAAGAACTGAAAAGAGGGATCTCACAGGGACATCGGGGGGTCAGGCAAGAGGCCCCCTCCACCCGACCCACGGCCCCCAACAGCAGCTGACAGCCCCAGCAGGATACAGACTGGGCGGGTTAGATTAGATTTTTTCACTTGATTGAGAAGGTTGTAGATTGTTGTTGGTTGTATTCATTTTTAAATTGTTGATATCAGAGGAACTGGTCCCTCCCAACCCGTATTTCTGGATGAATGTACTGAATGATATAAATTGGTTGTTTTAAGGAGATGGAGGTGAGTGATTTCCTTTTGTTGCCATGATGGAAAGTGGATGGGGGTGTTGTGTAGCTGGAGGTCTGGATTGTGCCATACTGGGGTGTATCTACATGGTGCTAGTGATGACTTGGTGATATTATGGGTTTTCCACCAGGCTGCCAGAGGTGAGGAGATGGTGATGGTTTTGTGGTACACTGTAAAACCCGATAAGTTAATTGAACTCAAAAAAATAGTTGAAACTGATTACATCGAAAATCTTAAGTTCTAACAACTCAATCTTTTAAGTTATAATAAACATAATTACATAAAGTACTATTAACTTAGCGTAATCAAGTGACACTTACTTCATTTTGTATGTTAATGTTACACTAATTATTAAGTATTATTTACATGTTTTTTTATTCTGAAAGAACAAATACAAATTAAGTACTGCAAACTCAAATACTTTGTGAAGCGTTACCATGAATTATTTATGTTTTCCTAAAGTAATTATTTACATTATATTAACATGTATTTTTTTAGTTTAATTTAGTTTTGAAAACTTTCCTATAATTAAAAACTCTTACTTAATTGCAACTCAAAACAACATTTTGAATTACTTAAAACATTTGTTGAAACTGATTACATAATTTTTTTTAAGTTGCTTTAACATAATATCCTGAAATACACAAATTCTTAATGAACATTAAACACATTTTAACACAGTTCTTTAAATGCAGATCACTTTATTAAATGACTTAAACATCAGCCAAACATTATAGTGATTATAAAAAACCTTCCAGCAGCTTATAGTGCTTTGGCAAACAGCCTATGATCATTTATGATCAGAACATTTACATTATCACAGTGCAAGATTCAACGTAGTAACAAACGTTTGCAAATATTAAAATTATTGCCTCAGTATAAGCAGCATGTCAAAACATTCAAATGACATATATCTGAGTAAACATTGTATCTCCAGACCTGTCCTCATGACACAACACAGGAGCAAAATAAACAAATATCAAACTTCAACCAGAGAAAGTCCAATTTTGTATCAGAAAGACACAGCAACAACTATTGTAAAATAGTTCAGAAACACAGTAACTTTTAAGAATAGTTGACAACTTAATACACAGATATACTAAAGAAATGCCAACTTCAGCAAAATGACAAAAGGTTTACCCTATAGTTCTGTACATCAACACTAGAAAAACCCAGGCATTTCCAACAGAAACCCATTACAACTTTGAGTTCAACAGGCATTTTTTCAAAACACATCTTTTTGAAGTAAAAACCCCGAACTTAGGGCCCTAACTTTTTACTGCTCTTTGCAATGCCAAAATTACACAAGTCCATGTGCGCAAACAGAAATTCTTCAGTGAAGTATTACATTTGTTGTGTGTGTGTGTGTGTGTGTGTGTGTGTGTGTGTGTGTGTGTGTGTGTGTGTGTGTGTGTGTGTGTGTGTGTGTGTGTGTGTGTGTGTGTGTGTGTGTAGATCATTCAGTTGACAAAAGGTCGTTTTTAAGGCTCAATACTCTAGGCTTCAACTTGCCATCCTCAAGGCCCATCAAGACTTTTTGGATGAAGTCAAATGTATTGGCCAAGTCTTTCGGGTAACTTAGATGTAGCCCATAAATAAGTGCAAAAAGCATGACAAATGCATCAGAAAATGTTGGGAAATCGACAACTGTGTTACCCTCAAGCACAACGGCAACCTTCTCGGGCAGAATACCGCAGCATCTGTTGAAGTGGCACTGATCAGGAGGAGCCCAACTGGTATGTTGTCGATTTGCAGTTCATCTGACAGGGCCTGCTAAAGACAAGGACAGAGAAATGTTACAAATCAACTGCCTAAGCTTCAGTGTTTCCCATAGAATGACAATGTACCAAAAGCTGTTTATGTTTCTTGATCAGCGGAAAAATATGGAAAGTACACTACCCTATTGCTATTCAGGGATTTCTTAATTCACCACTTTAAATGTAGTAATTATCCCCCTTTTTGTTTTTTTGGCCTCAAAACAATCAAAGCTAAATGGTACTGAAAGACAATGACTCAACTGACAAGCTTTTTTAAACAATCACTATATTGCATTTATTCTCACTATAGATGTTGATATTGTTTAGCATACTATTCCAGCTCTGCAGGTTTTAAATGGAATTTTAAAAACTGCAGCATGAATTGAGGTTTGACCAGTAAATGCAAAGTTTAATTACTAATTCCTCACAGGTAAGATTAAGCCTACTGTAGATGTTGCAGGACAATTATTACTATATTAATCTTTTTCACTTTTAATATCATGGCAATCATACACCAAAATGACAGCATCTGAATAAAACAGATGAAATATATAACATGTTCAACAGATTCATTACAAGTCTTAATAATATGCTGACTTACATCCCACAGCTTCAGAAATCCGGAGTCATCCTCATGCAGATATGTAGGGAGAGCACGGAGGACGGCAGCACGGAGGACATTGACGTCAACTTGTTCCTTAAGTATGAGAAAACACATCATCTTAATTTGAAATGCCAAACAGGGAAGGAACAGAATTTATCACAAGAAATAGCCCTATATGATGTATTTGAATACGATTAGGTAATGCCTACCAAACTGTCAAATGACAATATCAAAAGCGGAACACTTGATGACATTTATTGTTTCTATTGTTGGTCGTGTTTTTTCCAAACAGTCTTTCACGATAGAAGACTGTCAGCTATCAACGATGGCATCATCATTTGGCCCTAATGTAATCTGAAGATAGGGAGTTCCAACAGGGTTCTATTATTATCATGCATGAAGAAGGATAATCAACTCACCTGGCGGTCATAAGTGTTGAAGAGCTGATCCAGGACTTCACACCTTCCCTGTGCGCGCAGCTTTCTTCCTGAACAAACTCTGAAGACGAGGGACATGTCTGTCTAACTCAGAATAGAAGTGGTTCTTCAGGTTGATGTTTGTGATTCTGTGAAACTCTGCACAAATCTGTAAAATAAAAATGTGACATTGAAGTGCATTTGTATCTCAAAAGAAAAAGGAAAATGAAGTTGTAAAACATTACATTACAAAACGTGTTTAAACATTATGTACTGTCGCATTATAAATGTCAAAACTTTACATTTGTTAAATGCTTGTCAGACTAAGTGACTGATGTTGAGATCCCTACACTTCCCTATCACATACAAAGAAAAAAAAACTCACCTGTGACTCCATCTTTAGGGCAGGCCAGCGCTCCAGGATCTCTCCAACAGGCAAGTCATCATTGATGACCTCTTTGCGTCGCAGGGAAAAGGTGGTCTGCATCAACTTTGCAATCAGAGGGAGGTTTTTGTCAGTCCTTATAACTTCATCTACAATCTGGAGTCTCTGTCGCTCAAGGCTTGAACCATCTTCTCCTTTTGGAAAGTTGGGGAGAAAATTCACTTCTGCCCTTTTTGGTCTCTTTATGTCAGTGTGGGGAGATTGTTTGTCAGGGTTGTTTCTGCTTCTCTTTCCAGAATTTACAGCTACCTCACTATATCCTGCCCGACTCAACTTAGTGCAGAAGTTACCCATCTTAAACTTCAGACTATTTTTCCAACCATACCATCCTGTCTGCGTTCCTGGTTCTTTAAGACAAGGATGGGTGGTGACAAGCGCTTCTGCAACCACTGAAATGTCTTTATCACTGGGATATGCTTTAAAGCTATGCATTTTGGATGCAAGGGTTTCAAGAATGTCATGCTTCTGTCCCCTTGATAACTTCAGGGTTTTCCCTGTTCTCTCATGATTCAAATTTCCCTCAACAAGTATGAGTTCTACTTCATAAGAAAAGCTGGCACTGGACAAACATCCGGCCATCTCTGGGTCCTTTCTGGAGTCATTGCATGAGGCAATATTATTGTGTCATCAGATGCAATTGAACTGGCATCACTCTGAGATCTTACAAGTTTAAGTACTGCCTTCTGTGGAAGCTCTTCAATGTCTATAAGGGAACATAACTGCCCGTCAAAGTCTGGATCTTCATATGATTAGCAAAAATCAAAGTCTATCTTAAACTTTTCTTTTGTCATTTTTTCAAGCTCAGTCACAGATTCTGGACGTGAAGCCAAAGTCATCTTCCTGACAATGTCCATGGAAGTATGTATGTGAAGATTACCTATTAAAACAAAGAGGGGAGAGAACGGATTAACTAATAGCATTCAACAATGCATACACAATAGGTATTTGTGTGAAACAGTTATAGACAGATATTATTCACCTAAAAGCTGGGGTTTGAAAAACATTACAGTTGTAGCAGGTAAGTCTTTCTAGGCTTGTAATGTTAGTAAACGTAACTGGCATATCAAATTTTAGTTTACCTGTCTTACTTTGCTACACACTGTTCCATGAGGCCATATGGTTCTTCACTTCTGATAACATTTTACACCTGGATTTCTCTGATCAAAATAAATCTTTTTTGTGTCAGTATTAAGTGTCCATCTATGTTGTATGCAGACAAACTTACTGTGTCATTTAGTTCTGACAGCTCGATGACAGAGCAGGTGTCTGAGGATGTCAGCTCAAATCACCTCAAATGCTCTCTGTACCAGCTCTCGTAGTTTCTGCAAAGAAAAGAAACAGAGTTATTCACAAGCAGTGTTTGGTCAGTCTCCAGCCTGGCCTGCAGAAACATACATACCATTAGCATACTCTGTGCCATCAATGGACACCTGTGTTGTACTGTATATGTTTTGGCTGTCTGTCTTTGTTCTTATAAAGTCTTTTGCCACTTGAGGCAGTGTGGCAACGTGGACAGAGGTGACACTCGAAGATTGTGTGTGGGGTTTGAAAAATAATGTGCACTTCAGTGATACGCCATCATGTGCTGATGCCTAGTGGCAAGAGTTCTCAAGACAGTCTTGAAATTGTGTGTGTCCTGTATCACTCTTTTAAAAAGCGATGTTTTCCCTCGAACCTCATTGTCCAAAGGTGAACAAGAGGCCCAAAGCGCCTTGTCATTTCTGGGTAGTGCTCAACATAATGATGCTTGGGTCTGAGCTTAAAGTCTGGAAACACTGCTTGAAGTCCCTGTCGATGATCACTGATTTTAGTCTGCATGTACTGTAAAGACTCCTCTGTGAAAGATGGAGACAACACCAGCTGCACTATTTCTTTGAGGTCCAACAATATGGCCCATGTTTCATCTCCTTCAGGGACTTTACTTCCTACCAGTAGTGGTAATAACCTAAGCAAAGTGGAATTTTCATGCCCGTTTGGCAGCAAAATTCTTTGGAATTTGTTGCGGTTTATCAAGCCTATCAGTGTGCTGATCTGGAAATGTGTGAATTCTTGTGTTTAGATATTCAAGTGTGAAATACTTCAGGCAAATCATCTCACGGATGCACAAGGCCATCTCAACTGGCACGACACCCTCAAAGAGGTCGTGAAGAATATCAGGTGGAAAACCAGTGATGGGATGAAAATGCTGCAATGCCATGCTGAGAGCACACTGACCTTTAACACCTAAGTGATTTGCTTTGTCTTCTTCCACAACATTCTGCACATGAAGATCATGGGAGGCCCTTGTTCTCATGCTAAACTCCCCTTCAGAAACGTCAGTGCACTGTTTCTGGTCTGCAGTACAGCAACAAAATCAGGGACAGTTTCAGCTCCCCTGTTTCAGACAATAACTGATTTTCTTTGAAATATGTTCCATCTTCATGAGACATGTAAATTCCTGGTGGAGACGGTTTGCCTCGTGAATTTTTTCAAGAAGATCAGTAGTTTTAAACATTGTTTGAATCATCTGAAGAATGGGAACATACACTGCTGTGTGTTCACTGGAATCAAAAGTGTATTGCACTGGCATTACCAAAGGATAGTTACTCCTCACAAATGTTTCCCTCCGCTTAGCAGTGGACAGTTCCGCACCTTCTGAAGTAGCATTGACAAAAACATTAGTTTTCATGATAGCCTCCTCTAGGTCATGAAGAAGGGCCCCACTGACAGACAGATCATGCT